GGCGGCGGGGCCCCGAGGGGGCGGGCGGAGGGGGCGGCTCCCCCGGCCCCGCCGGCCGCGGCCATTTAGGAGCGGGCGGGAGCCAATGGGCGGCGGCGCCGCCGCCGTGACGGCCGCGATTGACGCGATTCCCACGTCAAATTGATCCCGAGGAGCGGCGGGGGCTCCCCGCGAGCGGGGCTCGCTGCCGGCGCCGCCAGGACCCCCCGGCCCGGCCGCCCCCCGGGCTCGCTCTCTATGCCGCGGCTGCGCCCTCCCCGCGCCGGGCCATGGGTGAGTGCGGCCGGCCCCGGACGGGCTCCGGGACGGGCTCCTGGCCGAGCAGGGCACCGGGAAGGGGCAGGAGGCGGCTGGGGGTGCCGGGGTGCCGGGAGGGCTCCGGGCTGCTCCGTGCTCCCCGCGCCTCCCTTCGCTTTCGCTCCGCTGTCTGCCTGCGAGTTCTTCTCCCGCTCCCGTTCTTTTGCCTTCTCCCCTTTTGTCCCGCTCTGCTTTTTCTGTGTCCTTTTTTTTCTCCCTCGTCGTTTCTGACTTTTCTTTTCCTCTCGTTCTTTCCCTGTCTTTCCTCCCCATTCTTTTTTTACTGTCACTTTTATCTCACTTTTATCTCACTTTTATCTCACTTTTACGTCTGTATTTCTCCTTTCTCTCTTTCCCCTTACCTTGGGCTCTTTTTCTCTCTCTCTTTCCCCTCTTCTCCTCTCATTCTCTTTTTGTTTTTCCTCCCTTTCCTTTCCCCCCTTCCTTTTTCCTTTTTTCCCCCCTTCTTTTTTCCTTCAATTTTTCTTCCTTTTTCCCCCTTCTTTTTTTCCTTCAATTTTTCTTCCTTTTTTCCCCCCCCTTTCCTTTTCTTCCATTCCTTTTCCTTTCTTCCCTTTTTTGCTCCTTCCTGGCTTCCCCTTCCCCTTTCTCCCCCCTTTTCTCCCCTCTCCCCTTCCCGCTGCAGCGCCATCCCCATCCCGCCCCCGTGCCGTGCCGCTCCGTGCCGCTCCGTGCCATGCCGTGCCATGCCGTGCCCTCTTCCCCCCTTCCTTTTTCCTTTTTTCCCCCCTTCTTTTTTCCTTCAATTTTTCTTCCTTTTTCCCCCTTCTTTTTTTCCTTCAATTTTTCTTCCTTTTTTCCCCCCCCTTTCCTTTTCTTCCATTCCTTTTCCTTTCTTCCCTTTTTTGCTCCTTCCTGGCTTCCCCTTCCCCTTTCTCCCCCCTTTTCTCCCCTCTCCCCTTCCCGCTGCAGCGCCATCCCCATCCCGCCCCCGTGCCGTGCCGCTCCGTGCCGCTCCGTGCCATGCCGTGCCATGCCGTGCCCTCCCGCCCCGCAGAGCACACCTACGGCGAGGTGAACCAGCTGGGCGGCGTCTTCGTGAACGGGCGCCCGCTGCCCAACGCCATCCGCCTGCGGATCGTGGAGCTGGCGCAGCTCGGCATCCGGCCCTGCGACATCAGCCGCCAGCTCCGCGTGTCGCACGGCTGCGTCAGCAAGATCCTGGCCCGCTACCACGAGACGGGCTCCATCCTGCCCGGGGCCATCGGCGGCAGCAAGCCGCGGGTCACCACGCCGGCCGTGGTCAAGCACATCCGCGACTACAAGCAGGGCGACCCCGGCATCTTCGCCTGGGAGATCCGCGACCGCCTGCTGGCCGACGGCGTGTGCGACAAGTACAACGTGCCCTCGGTCAGCTCCATCAGCCGCATCCTGCGCAACAAGATCGGCCCGCTGGCCCCCGCCGGGCCGCCCCCGGCCGCGCTGCCCTGCGCCCACATCTACCAGTACCCGTACCCCGGCGCCGCCGCCCCGCCGCCCGCCAAGGCCGGCCCGCACCCCGGGGGACACCTCGGGGCACCCCCGGTGGCGCTGCCCCGCTCCTGGCCCTCGGCGCACTCGGTCACCAACATCCTGGGCATCCGCACCTTCGTGGAGCAGGCGGGTGGGTACCGGCAATTCCGACCCCCCCACCCCTCATCCTTTCAGAGTTTTCTTTTTTTGGCCTATTTTTTGTCGGTTTAGCTTTTTTTTATTTCATTTTTTATTATTTTTTTTTGTCTCTTTGTGTTGGCGGTTTTTTGTTCTTTTTTTTGTTTGTTTTGTTTTGTTTGTTGGTTTCGGGTTTTTTATTTGTTTCGGGGGTTTTGTTTGTTTCCTGCCTCTTGGCTCGCTCGGCGATTTCTCTTTTTTGCTTCTTTCGGCTTTTTTTATTTGGTTCGTGCCTCTTTGCTCATTTCGTGCCTTTTTGCGTCTTTCCTGCTTTTTTATTAGTTTCAGCTTCTTAGTTTATTTCGAGTTTTTGTTGTTTCTTTCGGGTTTTTTTGCTGTTTGTTCCAATTTTTTTTTGTTTCGTATATTTTTCTTTCCCCCCCCGCCCCCCATTTTTCCCCTTTTTTCTCCCAAGGGCCTCCCCCCGCTCCACCAGCCCGTCGGGGCGGCGGGGCCAGATGCGGCCTCGGCTCAGCCACATCTTGAACTTTTTATGAAAAATGTGGAAAATATTTTCCTAGGGATGATAGATTGCCGACCGCAAATTCGGAGCCCTGAATTTCGCTCCGCAAAGGGGGATTTTAAAAATAATAAAAAAATTAAATATATATATATGTGAAAAAGAGGGGAAAAGAGGAAAAAATAAGAGGAGAGGAAAAATCAGGGAGGAAAGGGAAGAGAAGGCAACTCGGATCCGGCCTCCAGGATTCTTCCGAGGAATCTGGGAATTTTGGGGCTCCGGGAGCACCGGCAGCGCCAAGGCCGAGCCCCGGCGGCTCCAAGGGGGGACAAGCGGGCCGTGGCAGGGGGTGGCGGGTCCTTTCATCCTTCCAAAGGCCCGGGTAAATCAACCGCATGCGTTTCCCCCCCGCGCAATCATTTATCCTTAAAATTCCGATGTCACTTCTCCAAATCCCCTTCGTCGGGAGAGAAATTGGAGCCCCTAAATTATCGGGGATTGGGAATTGGGAGACGGAGGGGGGAGACGGCGAGCGGGTTTTGGGGGGGACACCACAGCCTCTCCCCGCCGTGCGACCCCAAATTTCGGGATGCTGGAGGGAACGCGGATTCTTGTGCCCCCAGTCCTTGGGTTTAGGCGTTTGGAAAAGCCGGAATTCCCTCTGTTTCACCCCAAAAGCTGCTCGGGCCTGGCCCGGGGTGCTCGGCGCTGACGTTTTGTTCCCCAGGGGCTCTGGCTGGCACCGAGGGGGCCGCGTACCCCCCAAAGATGGAGGAGTGGCCCAGCGTGAACAGAAGCGGCTTTCCCGGGCCGGGCCAGGCGGTCAACGGGCTGGACAAGGCTGCCCTGGACGGCGACATCAAATACCCGCAGGTGAGGGCTGGGGGCACGAGGGGACATCAAATACCCGCAGGTGAGGGCTGGGGACACGAGGGGACATCAAATACCCGCAGGTGAGGGCTGGGGACACGAGGGGACAGGGAAGCATGGCACCAGTGGGGCTGGAATGGGGCAGGGGAGGACAAGGCGGGGGGAGCAGGGAGGGGCCAGCGAGGTGGGGAGAGAGGACGGGGAGCCCCGTCCGCCCCCGAGCGGGATCCCCCCGCGGATTCTGAGCCCCTGTCCCCTTGTGTGCCCGTCCCTGTCCCCAGCCCGGCGCGGGGCTCTCCTCCATGGGCACATTCCTGCCGGCCTGCGCTTACCCCCCCTCCGGCCAGCCCGGCGTCTACGGCGGCTCCCCCGGCGCCTACATCGCCCCGGGCCCCCCCTGGCAGCCGCAGGGGACCCCCCTGGGCCACCACGGCCACGGCGTGACGGTGGCCGGCGGCGAGCTGGCCATGGCCTTCAAGCAGCCCGGCAGTGAAGGTGAGCGGGGACAGCGCGGGGACAGCGCGGGGACAGGAGGGGTCTGAGCGATCCCCCCCATTGCCGGGGTTCCGGGGATCCCCGCGTTGGGATTTCCCTGCTCGCTCGCCGGGAAGCGCCAGGGAATGAGGGGGGTCCCCGGGCTGCTCATCCCCCCGGGAATGTGGCGGACAGAGCGGGAGCCTCTCCCCTGGTCCCCCATTCCAAGAACCCGGAGCCTTTCTGCAAAAGCAGAAGCCTTCACAGGGAATCAGTAATTCCCAGTAATTACCTGTTAATTGTGAACTGACAGCAATGATTGAACTGTTTGTTTAGAGTTATTAGTTATCATAATTAACTGTTAGTTTATTTAATTGGTTCCCGGGGTTATTAATGAATGATTTCCCTCCGAACGCTCTGCCGGGAATCCCACGGGAGCAATTTGAGGCCGTCCGAGGGGGCGTTGCTTTTATCTCCCGTTAATTATTTCGTCTCATTAACAGAGCTCGATTCTCTCGTTTTAAAAATCCCGATTTTTCCGCCCTGGCTATAAATTTCCCTTCGACATTTTTGTAATTTTTCCCGGAATTTTTTTACTTTCTATTACTTTAATTAATTTACAATTAATTCCCTGTTTAATCGTCCTTTTTTGTGTTGTTTTCTCTGGGGTTTAAAAATTTTTTGTTGTTTTCTGTTACTTTTTTTTTGTGTTTGTTTGTTTGATTTAGTTTTTTATTTGTTTGGTTTTTAATAATTTTACCGTTTCTAACCTGCTGCGAGTTGTAACCTCAGCTGTGCCGGGGAGGAGGGACTGAGGGAGAAAATAAATAATTCAAACCGATTGTTTAAAGATTAAAAAAAAAAAAAAATTAAAAAAGGGAGAGAAAGGAAAGAGAGAGAAGGGAAAAAAAATATTACAAAGAAGGAAAGAAAAAAAAAAAGTATATAAAACGACCACAGCCACCTTAAAAAAGGGACAGAAAGGAAAGAGAGAGAAGGAAAGAAAAGTATTACAAAGTAGGAAAGAAAAAAAAAAGTATATAAAACGACCACAGCCACCTTTGCATATTTAACGTATTTTGGAGGTTTTAAAAATTATTTGGAGCCTGAATTTTCTGATTTCCCAATTTTTTAAGCTGTTTTGTCCCCAGACTTTCTCTAAACCTTTGTAGGTTTTTGATTTATTGGTGGGGTTTATTTGCGTGTGGTTTTTGAATTGATTTTTATTTTTCTCTTTAAATTTTATTTTAAATTTTCCCCATTTTTCCCTTTGGATCGGTTTTCTGGTTCTGCCACTTTTCTGGGACGAGGAAAATGTGGGATTATCCGACAAAGGAGCTGGAGGAGGAAGGGCAGGGTGGGCTGGGGGATACCTGTAGCGAGTGGGGAAAAATGGGAAAAGGCTGGAAAGAAGGAAGGAAAGTCCAGCCAGGCAATTTCAGCCCTTTCCCAGTTTCTTGGATTTCCCCCGAAACCCCTCCAGCAGCCCCGGGATGAACATCCCGGTGCCTGAAGGCAGAATTCCCGAGGGCTGAGCTGCGGTGGGACGGAGCTCAGCAGGAATTTCATCACCTCTGGAACGGTGGCAATGCCCTGTCCCCTTCCCCTCCCGGGCACTGTTCCCTCCCAGGACTCCCCAGATTTTAGGAACTTTTAGGGATGCGCTCTGCGCGTGGCTGGGGCTGCTCGGGGCCGGGCCACCCCGCGTCCCTGGCAGCGCCACCAGCCTTGTCCCTGTCACTGGGGGTCACAATCGCTGCTGGGGGGACCCCGAGCAGCTCTGGAGGCGGATTTTGGGGCGTCCTCCCGCGCTCGGAGTCCCTCCATCCCCTGCCTCGTGTGTCCTTTTCCCTCTCCCCCTTCCTGCAGGGGTGGACCGAAAACCCCCCAGCCCCGTGGGGAAAGCTCCGGAGCCCCTGAGCGCCATCCACGGAATCTCCATCCCGACCTCCTCGTCCTAGAGCCGCCGAGCAGCTGCCCAGGGACTCCTGGAATCTTGGAATCAGCTCCTGCAGCCGGGGGCTGAAGCCGGGAGCGGGGACAAGGGGACAGCCTGGGCGGTGACAGGTGACTTTCTGCCTCGGCAAATCCCCGGCAGGACATTCCCGGAGGGACACGTATCCTCCGTCGGATCGGAAAGGGATGACGGAAGAGACTCAGTCTTCCTTCTTTATTTTATTTTATTGTATTTTCTCCCCCTTGCTTTCAGTTTTTCCTTCTCCTTCCCCACACTCCCGAGGACTGTTGGATGCCGTGGTTCCCTCCGTCCCCGGGCACTGCCGGGAGCATTCCCGGCTCTGTCCCAGCCCAGGGGAGCAATTCCCGGCTTCCCCAAGGAGCATCCGGGCTGGAGCCCTTTCTCCAGCCCCTTCCCAGTGCCTCTGGAAATGGACCAAAAGTGCCAGGACGTTTTATGGGATATTTCTATAATAAGGAACTTTAATAAAAAGTGACAACCGTGGGCACCCTGCCTCAGGGTGAGCACCGTCCCTGCTCCAGAGCAGCTCTCCTGGAGCGGGAGCACTCGGTGGGATCCCTTGGAATCGCTCCCTGAGCTTCCTCCCGGGATTCTCCCGCATCCCGGGGCTCCGTGGCCACCTCCCCGCCACACCACCTGGCCCCGGGGGCTGCCCACCCCCAGGGGACTGTCCCCGCGTCCCCGCCCTGCCGGGCAGCGGGCTGGGATGCGCTCGGGATGGGGTTTGGCATTCCCTGGCTCCTCCAGCCGCTGCCGCTGGCGTCGATCCCTTCATTGTGTGGGAAGGGGCAGGTCCTGCAGCGGGGCAGGGAGGGAATATCCTGGCAGGAGAAAACACGCCGGGATTTCTGCGGAGAGGGCGTCTCGGCGGGAGGGAGGGAAGGAGGGAGCCGGGAGATGCCAGCACAGCCCACGCCGGGACGCGGTTTTGTCCCCAAGCTCGGCGTGGCAAAATTCGGTTCTGCCCCTGGTGAAGCCAGGCTTGGATTCCCACTGCAGAGCTCGGCAGGGAGGGAAGCTGGGAATTCAAGGAGGTGAGAGCACAGTCCCAGGGCAGGATCTGCAGCCCGGCTGGGCTGAGTGGAATTTAGGGATGTGAGGATGGAGGAGCCACCTGAACCAGAGGAGGGGTGGCCCTGGCCCGTCCCCTGCCAGGTTTATCCATTAAAAGCCGCATTCCAGCGGGTGGAAGAGCAGCTTTGGGAATGAGGAGGGACAGCAAAACCCCTGAAGTGTGGTGTGTGCTGTGTGCCAGTTCTCAGCATCCACTGGGGCCCCTCATCTCGGCATTCCAGGCAGGGATATCCCTCTGGATGTGGGGCTGGGGCTCTGGGATGAGCAAGGCACCGGTGCTGGAGTCAGATCCTTTCCATTCTGGTCCTGCTGGGATGTGACCCCTCATTCCCCTATCCCAGGCAGGGATATCCCTGTGGATATGGGATTGGGAGCTCTGGGATGAGCTAGGCTGGAGTCAGATCCTTTCCATCCTTGTCCTGCCAGGATGGTGCACGAGCACCTGAGTTATTCGCTTCCAAGACTGCTGTGGACCTGCCAAAACCCTGGAAAAAAGGCTGGATGCTGAGCATCCCCCCACAGCCACAGGGCAAAGGTGGCCAGTCCTGGGCACCCCCTGAGTGTGATTAAAACTGCCATCTTCATGGTTTCCTGTGGAGAAGGGATTTTCTCCTTAAACATCCCCAAAATATTTCCCTGCACCCAGCAGAATTCCCGGGGCAGGCAGAGCCACCAAAAACCCCAATCCAGAGGCCCTAAACTGGCTGGCACCTGTTAGGAGGGTCCAGGACATCGTGGCTTGGGGTCCCCAGGAAGGAGGGATAAAGGAGGAGATTTTTTTGGGTGGGAAAACACCCTCGGGACTTGTATTCCGATGGGAGCATGGAGAAAATCCCTGGGGAAATTCAGTGCCTGCACCGTGCACCTCAGCTCATGGAAAATCCTGGGAATGGAACACCCCACCCAAAAAAAAAAAAAAAAAAAAACAAAAAAAAAAAGTGAAGACCCCCCCACAAAAAAAACAACAACAACAACAAAAAAAAAAAAAAAAAAAAAAAAAACAAACAAAAAACCCACCAAAATAAATACAACAAAATGGGATTTTTAAGCAGGGTGAGGTGCTGCTCTGCCTGGCCACAAAGCAGGCAGCCTGACAGAATCTAGGGAAAATTGGACTTGATGGGAGCAGAACTTTTGGAATTGATGGGAGCAAAGCGAGGGGGTGGAAGCAATCAGCTCTGACACTTCTGCAGCCGTGGTCCTGTCAAAATCGATCCCATCCCTCGGAGCACGGCAGTTTGGATGGAATGGGGTTTGCAGCCTGAAAGAAAATGAGGCTGGAACTGTTCCCATCAGCTCTACCTGCTCCATGTGTCTTTAGCACCCTTTGGAGAGCACAGAGCAGGATGGGGAATGTTTCTGGAGACTTGCTGGTGGACCCCAGATTGATTTCTTTCCTGGAGTGTTTGGAATCCTAAGGATTTAAACCCATCCCTCTGCTGTAGGAATGGGCTGGGGGACTGGGGCTTGCAGATGTTTGGCACCAGCACAGGATCTGCTTTCCCGGGATTCCAGTGCTCCTCGCTCTGGGTTGTGGCCGGAGAAGCTGGAAGGAGCTGGAGGAGATCCCTTCAGAGATCAGGGATGGCCCAAGGAAGATCCAGGTTCATCATCTTGTGGATAATCCCAAGATACCAAAGACTGGGCCCAGGCTGGAAAAGAGCTGATCTAAAATTCCCAAAGACAGCTTGGTGCAAATCCTTTGGGTTCTTTGGAGCTAAATCCTCCTCCTTGTGCAGAAACTTGGAAAAATCCATGCCCAGCTCTCCGGAGAAGCTGCAAATCCCCCCCTCATTTGCAGGGTTATAAACCTGCCCTCAACTCCTTAAGTTGCACTTGGAAATGGGAATTTGATTCCCAGCTCCCTCAGGCACTTCATAACATTCCCTCTTAATATGGAGTTTTTCATTTTCGGGGAATCCAGCAGGTTTTTACCTCTGGAAACCTTCCCCAAAAGTTTTCTGCCGCTCCCAGCCCATGGCCCAGGAAAATCCCACCTCATTTCCCAGTGAGAGGCTGGAGAAGGGGCTTCTATTCCCTGGAGCTGCTGGGAGAGGTTTGGAATGGGAAGGTTTTGAGGGGAAGCGTCAAGGATCGCTCTGGGATGTGTGGGATCAGCCATTCCCTGGGATTGAATGGCTGCAGGAGTGCGGCCCTGGTGGAGTTTTGACAGAACTTTCCATAATTTGTAGAAAACTGGGGATGATAAATGGCAGGAAAAAATTCCCTGAACCCTAATTATAGTTTCACTCCACCACCAAGCAGCTCTGTGGGTTCAGGGCTCCTTGCTGAAGTTTCCAATGGATTTTGGAGGAATTGCGAAGGGAGATCAATGACGCGGCTGACAAACCTTCTCTTCCTTGTTATTGCTGATAGGAGTTTAATCATTCCCATGGGGAAAACCTCCCTCCTCCCTGCCATCCCATCTCCTGCAGCAGAAATATGAAAGTCCTTTTAATCCCAAAGTTATATGGACCTGGCAAGGAGCAGCGAAGCTTTCACTCCTGGAGATATCCCCGTTTTGGCACCGTGATCCCAGAAAATGATGTCATGCGGGATTTCTGTGCCAGAGTTTTCCCTTTCTTCTTTGGATTTGTGGCGATGTCAAGGTTCCTCTCCGGAGCAGGTCTGGTTTTAATATTCCATATTTACGTTTTTCATTTCGGGGCTGGCTGGAGCCTCCGTCGGTCCCAACCTCGCGGATGCCGCCGGAAGGAGCGAGGAAGAGGAGCTGGGATGGATTGATGGGCTCTGTTGGATTCCTAAACCTCGGGAAGAGGCCCTAAAATAGTCCCTGCTCATTTCTCAGGAGCTGTAATTCCCTCTGCTCCCCTCCACTACTGTTCCCATGCCCCTTCCCACAGGGAACACCACCCTTTGCCAGGAAGGGGCTTGGAGCTGATCCTGGAGCTGCCAAGCCTCATGAATCCATGAAAAATGCCTGGGAAGTGAAAGACCCAAGGTCCCGAAGTATTCATGCATTGTAGGATATTGAGGAGCACAGTTTGTCAAAGATTTCCCTGATCCCAGGAGGAGACAGGAGGTTCATGGAGATGGATCCACATTCTTGGTGCTCCCGTGGGATAAAGTGGGAATAAACCAGGCAGCGTTGGAGAATCCCTGCTGCCCAAAACTTTTCCTGCAGGAACACTCCGGAGCCAGCAGGGAATTTGTCTTTTGGCTTCCCTGGACTGCCAGACCCATATTTTAAGGTTGGGAATGTTGTCAGCATCCAGGCACGGCCCCTGGAGCCGGTGACGCAAGTGTGACAGGAGGCAAGGTCAGGTTACGGATGAGGCTGCTCCAAAGGCTCTCCTGGAGAACCAGAGGTTTGGGGAAAGGGATGAAATGTGCCAGGAGGAAAAAAAAATCCCAGTAAAGTGCTGGAAACCTCCTGGAAAGGGAGAATAAAATTCCCTCTGGCAGGAACTTGGTTGCTCTTGGAGGCAGCCAGTGAATTCCAAAGGCACATCCCTCAAAGCCAAAGCCCCGCCCGGAATTGGCAGCAAAGGGTCCTGTGTCAGTGGGGTTTGGAAGTACATCCATGAGGGATTCCCAGCTTGGATCTGGGGTGAATTCTATCCTTCCAGGAGTGCCTGGAGACCTCAAGCAAGGCTGAAGGGGAGGTGAGAAACCACCGAGGGAGTCCATGGAAGGATGGTTGGAATTCCCTGCATTTCACCTGCTGGGTGGATCCCAAGACCCTTCCAAGAAGTTTTGCCCCTCCAGGAACTTCCCTGCCTCGTGAACATTCCCTTTCCTTCGCTCCACCTTGGATGAGGCAGGGCCACCTGGCTCTATCCACTCTGGGAATCACCTCCAGGAAAAATTCCATGCCAGAAAGAGCTTCCAGAGCCAGAGCTGTCAAACTCCATCTTGCTCCAGGATTAAATTCCCTCCCGTCTCCCAAGCAATAACAAAACACCAACATTATGGAAAAGCTGTCAGGAATCCGATTGTTTTCCAAACACCACGGGTCCCTCTCCATTTCAAGGAACGACTGGGGTTGCTTTTGGGCTTGGAAGGATTGAGTAAG